GAAATACAGTATATTTGAAATGTATTTCTTAAAAATATTTGTCATATATTCTGTAATTTAAAAAAGCACATCAACATGCAATATATATATATATATATATATATATATATATAGTATATATATATATACAGTATATATATATATATATATATTTATTTATTGAAATATATTGAATACGGCCAGAATTGTAGTATTTCAAATATATGTTAATATATTTGGGAAGAATATTTTTAAAATATATTTTCTAATATAGTTTTCTTTCATATGGGTAGACAGGAGCCAATTAACCTACCAGCATGGCTTTGGAGTGTGGAAGGAAACTTGAATACCTGAAGGAAACTCACACAGGCACAGGGAGAACATGCACACTCCAGGCAGGTGGTGCTGTGGTTGGGATTTGAACCAATGACCCTAGAGCTGCCAGGTGGAAGTGCTAACCACTTAGCCACTGTGCTGCCCGTAAGCAAAATACAAATAACTTTTTATCATAATAAAGTGAGTAAAATACAATTAAAACTTAGTTTAGATCCACATTAATACCAGCCAGCATACAATTTCATCACCAGGTCATTGCTCAGGTTTCAGGGTTGTGATAGTTTGACTGACAATTACTCTGTCATGTGAAAAATTGTGCACACCTACGCTATGTTCCCTCTTATTCTAATAATGTGACCCACTAACAAAATATAAATAATAAAAAAAGAATGAATAAATATTGTATGATTCATTGGTGTTGTATGTATTTCAGCTTATAGGTGGTGACAGCACTGCTAGTTAGTATTTAATAACTACTGTTTTTTTTTTTACTTTTTACTATGTAAAGAACAAAAAGGCCAAAAAGAAAAAACATTTTCCCTTACTTTATATTAGAAAATATATCAAATATTATTGCCGTGTCGTTAAGAACACCCCCAAAATGACCATTTTGTTGAAAGTAGACACCCCAAGTTGATCCTATTGTTTTGCCACTTTTTTTGGAAAGAAATATGCTGGTATTGAGGGGGTCAAACTGATTACAGACCTCGCCTGGTTTACTGGGGTCTGCACATTAACATTTTGCTGCAGTGACAGCCCCGTATTACACCTATCTGCCTGGCCAACCAATGCTGAAACTACTACATGGAACTCCAAAGGGGAAAAGGGGTGTGGCTTGCCGAAAGAGGCAGCCTTTCTGGTTATGTCCATCTGTCTGCCCAATCACTGTTGACACTGCTATGGGGAATTAAATCATGGGGGGAAAGGGGTGTGACTTATAGAAAGACACAGCCCTCTCTAGTTACACGCATCTGCCCGTCCAACCACTGATGACAATGCTACAGAAAACTAAATCAAGGGGAACAGGGGTGTGGCTTACAGAAAGAGGCAGCCCCCTTTGGTTACGCCCATGTGCCCACCCAAGGACTGCTGACACTGCTACAGAGAATTAAATCATGGAGAAAAGAGGTGTGGCTTATAGAAAGACACAGCCCCCTCCGGTTACACCCATCTACCCACCCAACCACTGCTGACACTTCTACAGAAAATTAAATCTTGGGGAACAGGGGTGTGGCTTACAGAAAGAAAGCCCCCCGGTTACGCCTATCTGCCCGCCCAACCACTGCTACAGAAAACTAAATCATGGGGAACAGGGTTGTGAGTTACAGGAAGACAGCCCCCTCCCCAGTTACTCCCATCTCTCCACCCAACCACTGCTACAAAGAAAAATTTTTGGGGGAAAAGAGGCGTGGCTTACAGAAAGACAGCCCCCTCTGGTTACACCCATTGCTCACCCAACCACTGCTGACACTGCTACAGAAAACTAAATCATGGGGAACAGGGGTGTGGCTTACAGAAAGACAGTCCCCCAGGTTACACCCATCTGCCTGCCCAACCACTGCTGACACTGGTACAAAAAACTAAATCATGGGGAACAGGGGTGTGGCTTACAGAAAGACAGTCCCCCAGCTTACACCCATCTGCCTGCCCAACCACTGCTGACACTGGTATAAAAAACTAAATAATGGATAACAGGGGTGTGGCTTACCGAAAGATAGCCCCCTCCCCAGTTACTCCCATCTCTCCGCCCAGCCACTGCTAACACTGCTACAGAGAAAAAAAATTATGGTAAAAGAGGCGTGGCTTACGAAAAGACAGCCCCCTCCCCAGTTACACCCATCTCTCTGCCCAACCACTGCTAACACTGCTGCACAGAAAAAAATAATGGGAAAAGAGGCGTGGCTTACAGAAAGACAGCCCCCTCCGGTTACACCCTTTGCTCACCCAACCACTGCTGACACTGCCACAGAAAACTAAATCATGGGCAACAGGGGTGTGGCTTAAAGAAAGACAGCCCCCCAGGTTACACCCATCTCTCCGCCCAAGCACTGCTGACACTGCTACAGAGAAAACAATAATGGGAAAAAAGGCATGGCTTACAGAAAGACAGCCCCTTGGTTACACCCTTTGCTCACCCAACCACTTCTGACACTGCTACAGAAAACTAAATCATGGGGAACAGGGGTGTGGCTTACAGAGAGAGACAACCCCCAAGGGTTAACCCCTCTGCCTGCCCAGCAACTGTTAAATCATAGGGTATAGGGGTGTGATTTACAGAAAGAGACACCCCCCTTGCTACGCCCACCTGCCTCCACAAAGTCCTTGACAGGCAGCTTGGGTGAGACCCCCATTTAGCTCCTCCCTCTAAAGTATAGAATGAGTGCATGGGTCACATGATTGCAGTTTAAGACTTTTAAAGCCCAACTCTGGGAAAACTGATAATTACCCCTTGTAGTGAAGCTGTGCCTGCTGTGGCCGACTGCTCATTTAGTCTAGCGGACAGTTATTTGATCCTCAACTCCCTTGCCACATAGCGCACCTTAGGCTCTGGCGGTGGACTGTCACTTAGCATCATCACGCCCATTGCAGGGCTATGGACCCTGAATTGGTCGCGGTGATGTCAGAACCTTATACCTCTGGAGTGTTTGAGACACTGCAGGGACCAGTCTAGCAGCTTAGATGATCAGTGTAAGTAAATTTCCGACCCCTAATGAGCACTTTTTAAGTTTCCCTGGAGTTGGGCTTTAAGGTATTTGGAAAACTGTTTTTTTAAAGTAGAGGTCCATGGGCCACTAGGGAAAGGGGGGATGGGTGCATAGATTCACACTGGAATTCTGCTTTAAATTGACACCAAAGTACCCATGTCAAGCCGGCCATACACAGGTCGAATTCTGAAAGAATTTTCATTCGAAAACCTTTTCTAAGAATTTTCATTCGTATTTCGCACCATTAGTGGGTTACAGAAACGGACGATTTGCATGTGACCATCAAATTTGAGTGGTCGGGCATGTTGGAAATTTTTTGAAAGACGATGAAATTTCTAATCAATGATGGGAGAATCGTAATTGAGAAATAAATGAGTGTGAGCTGTGACCTGGAAAGAAAAGAGAATTCTTGGCCACAAAAATTAATTTCTGTAGCAAGAGGAGGTGAAAGTGAAGGCTTGGTTGGTCGCACTTCGAAATCAATGGTGGCACCATTGGATTACAAAATGCACAAAATTTCCGATTTTCTAAAGAAAATTTGTTCGGAATTCGACCCATCTGTGGCCTGCATTTGTCTTCAAATCAGCCTCTTTACAGCCTGTAGACACTATATTGCCAAATGTATTGGGCCCGCCCTCCAAATCACAGGATTCAGGTGTTCCAATCCCCTCCATGGTCACAAGTGTATACAATCAAGCCCCTAGGCATGCAGACTGCTTCTACAAACATTGGTGAAAGAATGGGTCGCTCTCAGGAGCTCAGTGACTCCAAGCGTGGTCCCGTGATAGGTTGTCACCTGGGCAATAAGTCCATCTGTGACATTTCCTGGCTACTAAATATTCCACGCTCAACTGTTAGTGGGATTAGAACAAAGTGGAAGCAACTGGGAACAACAGCAACTCAGCCACGAAGTGGTAGGCCACGTAAAATGACAGAGCCGGGTCAGCGCATGCTGAAGCGCACAGTGCGCAGAAGTCACCAACTGTCTGCAGAGACAATAGCTAAAGACCTCCAAACTTGGTGTGGCCTTCAGATTAGAGCAACAACATTGCGTAGAGAGCTTCATGGAATGGGTTTCTATGGCCGAGCAGCTGCATCCAAGCCTTACATCATCAAGTGCAATGCAAAGCGTCGGATGCAGTGGTGTAAAGCACGCCGCCACGGGATTCTAGAGCAGGGGAGACGTGTTCTCTGGAGTGATGAATCATGCTTCTATGTCTGGCAATTCGATGGACATCTCTGGGTTTGGCAGTTGCCAGGAGAACGGTACTTGCCTGACTGAATTGTGTTAAGTGTAAAGTTTGGCGGAGGGGGGATTATGGTGGGGGTGTTTTCAGGGGTTGGGATTGGCCCCCTAGTTCCAGTTAAGGCGTCAGCATACCAAGACATTTTGGACAATTTTATGCTCCCAACTTTGTGGGAACAGGTTGGTGATGGCCCCTTCCTGTTCCAACATGACTGCACACCAGTGCACAAAGCAAGGTCCATAAAGACATGGAGGAGCCAGTTTGGGGTGGAGGAACTTGACTGGCCTGCAAAGAGTTCTGACCTCGAACCTGATAGAACACCTTTGGGATGAATTAGAGCGGAGACTGGAACCAGGCCCCCTCCCCCGACATCAGTGCCTGACCTGACAAATGTGCTTCTGGAAGAATGGTCAAACCTTCCTATAGACACCCTCCTAAACCTTGTGGACGGCCTTCCCAGAAGAGTTGAAGCTGTTATAGCTGCAAAGGGCGGGGCCAACTCAATATTGAACCCTACGGACTAAGACTGGGATGCCATTAAAGTTCATGTGTGTGTAAAGGGCAGGCCGCCCAATACTTTGGGCAATATAGTATAAGACACAGGATGTGCACAAGGTGTCGACTTGTCTTCATTCATTCATTCATCAGGCCAATACCAGAGGCTCTACAGCTGGCAGATCCCTTGACAACTAAATAATAGGAAGTCATAGATAAAACGAAAGTTGTGACTTACAAGTTGATGGTTCCAGTAGTGAGCGCACTGACCACCCACTGCAGGTCCAGAGTCTTGAAGGGGATCAGGATCATGCTGACATTATCAGCCAGGTCACGGACACTCTCCGGGTACACAAAATGATGCGTGGTTTTATTCCCCACGTCCTTCTCGAACTTGGCAGTGGGGGCGTGATTCATCCTGGGGGACACCAATGGGAACGTTACAAGCAATGTACAATAGCTTCATATCCCATCATCTCCAGACAAAACATTTTTTTGTTGATAGAACCTTTATTTTTACTGTTCTTTGTAGCAATTTCCCCTGACATCCTGTTCTGGTGACAACATCTGCAAAGAGGCACAGCGATGAGAGCACTCTCTCTCTCTCTAGTTAGGGGAAGGTTAGAACCCCCTGAAAGCTTTGTATTCTTATTGTTCTCATAGGAGTGATATCACTGGGTCTCTGTGCTTCTGTAGGCAATTCAGGCAGATAGTGTCTAGTGTGAGGGGCTTCACAGCACCTATCCTCAGTACTGCTCTCAAGAGCCTCAGCCCTGATACCAGCAGTGGGCTGCATCTTGGGAGGAGTTATGCAAATATCAAAATGCCTTGATTAGTGGGTGTCAGTCTGGGGGAGTGGCCTTTGCTAGTCAGGCTTCTGACTGCCCTGCGTAACACCCACATGTGATGCTGTGTCTCCAAGACTGACAGAACGGAAGTCCAATGAATAAAAAGGGGCGGGCCAGGGACAATCAGGCTGGGAGGAAAGAGGGCTAGATGATGATGGTAGATGTTCTCCGGCCAGGAAATGAGGTGGGCTTGCGCATCCCTGAGCTACGGAAGATATTCACCTTAGAACCCGCAGCCTAGTGCCCACTGTACCTGGACCTTAGTCCTGCAGCACCCGCTCCACCTCACACCTCTTCTGCATCTCTGCTGCACATGCAGCCCACCTGCATCTCTGCTACACCCACAGACTCGGCTGCATCTTCACTGCACATACCCGCAGCTCCACTGCACCCCACAGACTCGGCTGCATCTTCACTGCACATACCCGCAGCTCCACTGCACCCCACAGACTCAGCTGCATCTTCACTGTACACACCCGCAGCTCCACTGCACCCACACAGACTCAGCTGCATCTTCACTGTACACACCCGCAGCTCCACTGCACCCCACAGACTCGGCTGCAGCCCACAGACTTGGCTGCATCTTCACTGCACCCCACAGACTCGGCTGCATCTTCACTGTACACACCCGCAGCTCCACTGCACCCCACAGACTCGGCTGCATCTTCACTGCACATACCCGCAGCTCCACTGCACCCCACAGACTCGGCTGCATCATCACCGTACACACCCGCAGCTCCACTGCACCCCACAGACTCGGCTGCATCTTCACCGTACACACCCGCAGCTCCACTGCACCCCACAGACTCGGCTGCATCATCACTGTACACACCCGCAGCTCCACTGCACCCCACAGACTCGGCCGCATCATCACTGTACACACCTGCAGCTCCACTGCACCCCACAGACTTGGCTGCATCTTCACTGTACTCCCCCACAGCTCCACTGCACCCCAGCAGCACCCACAGACTCTGCTTATCTTCACTGTAAACACCCGCAGCTCCACTGCACCCCACAGACTCAGCTGCATCTTCACTGCACACACCAGCAGCTCCACTGCACCGCACAGACTTGGCTGCATCTTCACCCCAGCAGCACCCAGAGATGCGGCTACATCTTCACTGTACTCACCCACAGCTCCACTGCACCCCAGCAGCACCCACAGACTCGGATGCATCTTCACTGTACTCACCCGCAGCTCCACTGCACCCCAGCAGCACCCACAGACTCAGCTACATCTTCACTGTGCTCATCCGCAGCTCCACTGCACCCCACAGACTTCAGCTGCATCTTCACTGTAATTTCCCGCAGCTCCACTGCACCCCACAGCACCCACAGACTCGGCTCAATCTTCACTGTACTCTCCCACAGCTCTCCTGCACCCCAGCAGCACCCACAGACTCAGCTGCATTCTTCACTGTACTCACCCGCAGCTCCACTGCACCCCAGCAGCACCCACAGACTTGGCTGCATCTTCACTGTACTCACCTGCAGCTCCACTGCACCCCAGCAGCACCCACAGACTCGGCTGCATCTTCACTGTACTCACCTGCAGCTCCACTGCACCCCAGCAACACCCACAGACTTGGTTGCATCTTCATTGTAATCACCCGCAGCTCCACTGCCACCCAGCAGCACCCACAGACTCAGCTGCATCTTCACTGTACTCCCCCGCAGCTCCACTGCACCCCACAGACTTGGCTGAATCTTCACTGTACTCCCCTGCAGTTCCACTGCACCCCAGCAGCACCCACAGACTCAGCTGCATCTTCACTGTACTCTCCCACAGCTCCACTGCACCCTTGCAGCACCCACAGACTCGGCTGCATCTTCATTGTACACACCCACAGCTCCACTGCACCCCAGTAGCACCCACAGACTCGGCTGCATCTTCACTGTACACACCCGCAGCTCCACTGAACCCCAGCAGCACCCACAGACTCGGCTGCATCTTCACTGTACTCTCCCACAGCTCCACTGCACCCCAGCAGCACCCACAGACTCAGTTGCATCTTCACTCCACTCCCCCGCAGCTCCACTGCATCCCAGCAGCACCCACAGACTCAGCTGCATCTTCACTCCACTCCCCCGCAGCTCCACTGCATCCCAGCAGCACCAACAGACTCAGCTGCATCTTCACTGTACTCACCCGCAGCTCCACTGCATCCCAGCAGCACCCACAGACTTGGCTGCATGTTCACTACACTCCCCTGCAGCTCAACTGCACCCCAGCAGCACCCACAGACTTGGCTGCATCTTCACTACACTCACCTGCAGCCCCACTGCCCCCAGCAGCACCCATAGCCCCAGCTGCATCTTCACTGTACTCACTCTCCGCTCAACTGCACCCCAGCAGCACCCGCAGACTCGGCTGCATCTTCACTACACTCACCTGCAGCTCCACTGCACCCCAGCAGCATCCACAGACTCTGCTTATCTGCACTGCACACACCCGCAGCTCCACTTCACCCCAGCAGCATCTACAGACTCTGCTGCATCTCAGCTACACCCACAGACTCTGCTGCATCTTCATTGTACTCACCCACAGCTCCACTGCACCCCAGCAGCACCTACAGATTCTGCTGCATCTCTACCACACTTGCTTCCCCCATGTATCTCAGCTACATCTAAACACTCTGCTACAGCTAAAGCTCTACTGCACCCCAACTGCATTCACAGTCTGAGCCTCACCAGTGTCATCTCTGCACCTGCAGGCTCCTGCCTCACTCCTGCCTCCATATGCTCTATACCTCGTGCCTCTTCCATGATCTGGTTTCCTGGCTTCCAGCACCAACCCTTCTCCAAACTCCTACAAGGGGCCACCTAGCAGAACACCAGCTACCCCTTAGATTCCACATGCAGTAAATGCCGCGCACAGGGGAGCATGGTCCACAGTAACAAGAAACAAAGAACAGGCATTGTCAATATCCAAGGATCAGACTCTCAGCCCACTCCTATGCAGGAGAAGTGGAATGAAAGTGTAAACATGTCCTGGAGGGATTGGAACAAATCTACGGGGGTGGCAGGACTTCATAAAACCCTGTAAGGTCGGCTATCTCACCTGAATACAAAGTCGTGGGAGTCAATGTCTGGTCCGTAGTGTGATTCTTTAAGATTCCCCGAATTCCCCACCACAGCGCATTTTCGGCACTGGTTCGGACTCCGCTCTAACATGCAGGTCTCAGCCAGAATTACTCTAAACAACTCTTCAAGGGCTTTGTTGATATCCATGGGGTTCTTTTCACCCTGTAGTCTCTGTTGGTGGAAATAAAAAAAAGAATGGATGCATGAAATCCAGTTCAATTCATTCATACACTGACGCGCTTCATGATCAACATTTCTCACTTGAAGTGCATCATCAGGCAAAATTTGAACATTTACACTTGCCGCTAACATGGTTCCTCTGAAAAGCAATCATAGATGACATTTGATAGGAGGCTCGATGGCAATATGTCACCTCCTGGATGCTGGTTTCAACCATTGAAAGCCTAGAGCACCACAGCAGGGGCGGACTGACAACTCATGGGGCCCCTGGGCAATAGGGAATCATGGGGCCCCTGTGTCCTTGCCCAAACTCAAAAAAGCCTATGAAAAAGGTACCAGGGGCATCTCATGGGACCCCCTACTGACCCCGGGCCCTCGGGCAGTGCCCGAGTTTCCAAATGGTCAGTCCGCCCCTGCACCACAGTATTACACGAGGTCTCTCTGCGGAGGCCTGACCCCTGCCATGTCCAACGTACAGCTTTGAAATCAGCCAAGCTCCTGCTGATTGGACAGCTTGGCAGGGAAACAGAAGGTGACAAAGGTCAATGAATAAGGGAAGACAATGGATAGTAAGGGAAGGTGGTGAATGGAAAAAAAAAAGGTTATAAAGGATAATGAAAGTTGATGGGTCTGTAGAGAAAGAGAAGATGATAAATGGAAAGGATAACTGAAGGTGATTTAGATTAAGGTAAAGTGTTGAATGGTAAGGTGAGGTGATGAATGCCAAAGAAAACTTAAAAGGGAAGGAAAGATTCAGCAAAGGGAAAGTCAAATTACAAAGGATAATAAAAAGTTGATAATGGTTAGGGAATCAGAAGCAGAGAAGGAGATGATGAATCGGGAACTGGAATAGAGAAGATGATGAAAGGTAGGGGCTAGGAATAGGGAAGGTGATACATGATAATGGAAGATGATGAAGGTCAAGGGAGAATGATAACAGGGAAGAATTACGGAAGGTGATGTAGAGTAAGAAAAGGCGATGTAGGGTAACAAAAATGAAAAAGGGAAGGTGAGGTTCAGTACTGGAAAATCAGCAAAAGCGATTCAGGTAAAGGGAAATGAAAAGGGGAGATGATTAAGGGTTGGAGACCAGAAAAGAAAAGGGATGGTGATAAAGAGTAGGAACCAGAAAAGAAAGGATGATAGAAGGTGGGGAACCACAAAAAGGAAAGTAAAGAAGAATAGGGGACCAAAGTAGGGAAGGTGATGAAAGGTAGGGGCTAAGAATAGGGAAAGTGATACACGATAATGGAAGATGATGAAGATCAAGGGAGAATGATCACAGGGAAGAATTACAGAAGGTGATGTCCAAGGTACAGCTTTGAAATCAGCCAAGCTCCTGCTGATTGGACAGCTTGGCAGGGAAACAGAAGGTGACGAAGGTCAATGAATAAGGGAAGACAATGGATAGTAAGGGAAGGTGGTGAATGGTAAAAAAAAGGTTATAAAGGATAATGAAAGTTGAGGGTCTGTAGAGAAAGAGAAGATGATAAATGGAAAGGATAACTGAAGGTGATTTAGATTAAGGTAAAGTGTTGAATGGTAAGGTGAGGTGATGAATGCCAAAGAAAACTTAAAAGGGAAGGAAAGATTCAGCAAGGGAAAGTAAAATTACAAAGGATAATAAAAAGTTGATAATGGTTAGGGAATCAGAATCAGAAAAGGAGATGATGAATAGGGAACTGGAATAGGGAAGGTGATGAAAGGTAAGGGCTAGAATAGGGAAGGTGATTCATGATAATTATTATTATTATACAGTATTTATAAAGCGCCGATAGTTCGCTCAGCGCTGTACATTACAAAGGGGGACAGAACATGTGACAGAACAATACCAATACAATGCAAAACATGAGGGGATCGAGGGCCCTGCTCTTTCGAGATTACAATCTAGGAGGGAGGGGGTGGTGGCACAGGAGGAGATAGCTGTGGGGGATGGAGTGGTAGGAAGAGTGGAGGAGGTCGGCAAGTTAGCAGGGGGTGGGGTAGGCTTCCCTGAATAGATGGGTTTTCAGGGTGCACCTAAAGGAGAGGAGAGTAGGTGATAATCTGATGGGTTGGGGCAGGGAGTTCCAGAGGATGGGTGACACCCTGGAGAAGTCCTGGAGGCGGGCATGGGAGGAGGAGACCAGGGAACTAGAGAGAAGGAGGTCTTGTGAGGAGCGGAGTGTGCGTGTTGGGCGGTACTTGGATATTAGGTCAGTGATGTCGTTCGGGGGCAGTATGGTGGACGGCTTTGTACGTCAGTGTTAGGATTTTGAATTTGATCCGTTAATGGAAGATGATGAAAGTCAAGGGAGAATGATAACAGGGAAGAATTACGGATGGTGATAACAGGGAAGAATTACGGATGGTGATAACAGGGAAGAATTACGGAAGGTGATGTAGAGTAAGGAAAGGCGATGTAGGGTAACAAAAATGAAAAGGGAAGGTGAGGTTCAGTACTGGAAAATCAGCAAAAGCGATTCAGGTAAAGGGAAATGAAAAGGGGAGATGACTAAGGGTTGGAGACCAGAAAAGAAAAGGGATGGTGATAAAGGGTAGGAACCAGAAAAGAAAGGATGACAGAAGGTGGGGAACCACAAAAAGGAAAGTAAAGAAGAATAGGGGACCAGAGTAGGGAAGGTGATGAAAGGTAGGGGCTAAGAATAGGGAAAGTGATACACGATAACGGAAGACGATGAAGGTCAAGGGAGAATGATCACAGGGAAGAATTACAGAAGGTGATAACAGGGAAGAATTACGGAAGGTGATGCAGAGTAAGGAAAGGCGATGAAGGGTAACAAAAATGAAAAGGGAAGGTGAGGTTCAGTACTGGAAAGTCAGCAAAAGTGATTCAGGAAAAGGGAAATGAAAATGGGAGATGATTAAGGGTTGGAGACCAGAAAAGAAAAGGGATGGTGATAAAGGGTAGGAACCAGAAAAGAAAGGATGATAAAGGGTGTGGAACCAGAAGAATAGGGGACCAGAGTAGGGAAGGTGATGAAAGGTAGGGGCTAAAAATAGGGAAAGCGATACACGATAATGGAAGATGATGAAGGTCAAGGGAAAGGGAGAATGATAGCAAGAAGGGAATACGAAAGGTAATCTAGAGTAAGGGAAGAGTATGAACAATGAAAAAAGAAAGTGAGGTTCAGTAAGGGAAAGTAAAAGTGATTAGGGGAAAGGAAAATGAAAATGGAGGATGATTAAGGGTGGGGACCAGAAAAGAAAATAGAAGGTGAAATAAAATGGTGATAAATGTTGGGGAACCAGAAACGTGAAGGTGATGATTAAGGGTAGGGGACTAGAAAATAAAAGGGAAGGTGATGAACGGTAGGGAACCAGTAAAGAAAGGGTAATAAAAGTTGGGGAACCAGAAAAGGAGAGGTGATGAAGAATAGGGGGTCACAATAGGGAAAGCGATGAAAAGAACAGGAATAGAATAGAGAAGGTGATACAGGGTAATAAAAAATGATGAAGGTCATGGTAAAGGGAACATGATAATGATGAAGGATTATGGAAGGAGATGTAGAGTAAGGGCAGGTGATGAAGGGTACAAAAATGAAAAAGGGAAGTTGTGATTTAGTAAGGGAAAGGAAAAGTGATTAAGGAAAAGGAAAATAAAAAGAAGGGATAATAAAAATGTGATAAAGGTTAGGGAACCAGAAGCAGAGAAGGTGATGAAGAACAGGGGACCGGAATATGGAAGGTGATGAAGGTAGAGGCCAAGAATAAGGAAGGTGATAGAGGATAAAGGAAGATGATGAAGGTCAAGGGAAAAAAAGGGAGAATGATAACAGGGAAGAATTACGGAAGGTGATGTAGAGTAATGGAAGGCGATGAACAATAATGAACATGAAAAAAGAAAAATTAGGTTCAATAAGGGAAAGTAAAAGTGACTGGGGAAAGGAAAATGAAAATGGGGGATTTTCAAGTATAGGGGACTAGAAAAGTAAAGGTGATAAAGGGTGGGGAACCAGAAAAGTAAAGTAAGGGGAAGATAATGAAAAAAGGGGAACAGAATACGGAAGGACTTGAAAAGCAGGGAACTAGCATAGAGAAGATGATATTTGTTGTGTGACAAATATAGGTGATGAAGTGTAGGGGACCAGAATAGGAAACATGATGAAGTGTAGGGGACCAGAATAAGAAAGGTGATGAAATGTAGGGGACCAGAATAGGAAACGTGATGAAGTGTAGGGGACCAGAATAGGAAACGTGATGAAGTGTAGGGGACCAGAATAGGAAACGTGATGAAGTGTAGGGGACCAGAATAGGAAACGTGATGAAGTGTAGGGGACCAGAATAGGAAACGTGATGAAGTGTAGGGGACCAGAATAGGAAACGTGATGAAGTGTAGGAGACCAGAATAAGAAAGGCGATGAAGTGTAGGGGACCAGAATAAGAAAGGTGATGAAGGGTAGGGGACCAGAATAGGAAATGTGATGAAGTGTAGGGGAACAGAATAGGAAACGTGATGAAGTGTAGGGGACCAGAATAGGAAATGTGATGAAGTGTAGGGGAACAGAATAGGAAACGTGATGAAGTGTAGGGGACCAGAATAGGAAATGTGATGAAGTGTAGGGGACCAGAATAGGAAACGTGATGAAGTGTAGGGGACCAGAATAGGAAACGTGATGAAGTGTAGGGGACCAGAATAGGAAATGTGATGAAGTGTAGGGGACCAGAATAAGAAACGTGATGAAGTGTAGGGGACCAGAATAGGAAACGTGATGAAGTGTAGGGGACCAGAATAGGAAATGTGATGAAGTGTAGGGGACCAGAATAAGAAACGTGATGAAGTGTAGGGGAACAGAATAGGAAATGTGATGAAGTGTAGGGGAACAGAATAGGAAATGTGATGAAGTGTAGGGGACCAGAATAGGAAACGTGATGAAGTGTAGGGGACCAGAATAGGAAACGTGATGAAGTGTAGGGGACCAGAATAGGAAATGTGATGAAGGGTAGGGCACCAGAATAGGAAACGTGATGAAGTGTAGGGGACCAGAATA